GTTTTCCACTTACGTTGACCTCTGGGTCCTTCCAGCCCAGCTTCTTTGCCCATTGTTTATTAATTTGCACATCTCCTAATTCAAAATGCAATCAAACTAACTGCTGAAAATATTGTTGAGTTGTTCATATCTTCTATGTTCTGGAGATTAGATTTGAATAAAATTACAACAAAATGCACAAATTATTCATTTGTTTTATTAAACTGAGGGTTGAGTATTTGAATTTCTCATTCAACTTATGCCTCCCCTCAAAGAAAACATGACTTAAAATGACTCATATAACCTGGCCATCAACCTGACCCTCTAAAAGGGCTCTTCCCCATAGCACCTTCCTTCCTTCGTGAATGGAGCCACCTTCTACACATCCGAGAAAATTCTCAACTCTTCTCTTTTCCTTACTTTCCACATCCAGACCCAGTATCATGTTCCACCCTACACCTTCTAAACAGCTAATAGGTTTGACCCCTCCTCATCATCCCTACTGCCCCTGCACAGCTCCAATCCACTCTCTATAACCAACACTGGGACTTTCTAAACCATACTTGTGACTGAAGTGTTTCACCCTCTCAGGTAGTATGGTGCAGTGATTAGAAAATGGGCTTCTTCCTAAACCAGGTTCTACCACTTAGTTTTGCAGCCTTGAGAAGAATCCTTAACCTAAGACCTATTTTCCTCTTCTGCATAATTCAAGTAATATCTACCTTATAAAAGGATTCTTATAAGAATGAGAGATAAGGTATGCAAAATGCCTAGCCCTAAATGGAGCTTTGTACAGAATTAAGTGCTTTATTATTTTTATTATTTTCTTATCTGTAAAAATGAGCAGTAAGTTTCTGAATTACTCTGAAGATTAAATAAGACGTAAGGCACCAAACACAGTGTTACTAAGTGTTTCTTTTCGTTTCCTTTTAATGGTTCCCCTATCCCCAAGACAAAACGCGGCTACTGCCACTTTCCCAATATCATCTCCTGCCGCTTGACTTCACATGTCTTCTCTAGCATAATGAATTATTTAATAGTAAGACTGCATCTCTTCATGCCTTCCTCTCCTTCAAAGCCATATTTACAGGTACAACACTACGTGTGAGAAAGACTTTACTATATATTTCAACATGCAATAGTTATCATATTTTCAAATTTAGAATGTAATATCCATCAGGTATAAGTGTATTGAAGGGGATGATATAGCAGAATATTCATAAGCATGAAAATCTGAAAAAAATCATCAAACCATGGTTACTGTACATGTTCATGCAAACATAATGAATGTGATGAAAGATATAACATCCTGTTAAATGATATCTGAGCAATAACTTTTCCACAGATGAAATTTTGAGTTGAAATAAAAAGAAGGAATGGTGCAGGTTAGAGCAACTGGGTCAAAAAAAAAAAAAAGAATGACTGAAAGTGATTGTGTTTGTTTGTTGAGGTTGTTTGTAAATACTTTGCAATACTTTCCAAAAGCATATGTTGATATATTATAGATGTTTTAATTAATTTGGTAATAAATATGATAATATAAACATTTCTCTTTCAAAACAGTGAGAGAGAAAATACTAGCTAGGTAAATAAATTATTAACATTCTCTATGTTTATTCCTAGATTGGAAACGAAATCTGGGGGCTCCCTCCCCCCACTATGATTTCATGATTTAGCATATACAAACCTAACAATCTTTCCAAGCATATGAAGAAAAAAATTTCTGTTTAAAGTTGAATCCAAATAATTAAATGGCTTTCATCAGGTCCCCAATGTGACAGTCTCTAAAAATGTGTAAGTTCAATGTTTATTCCTTGAACGATTTAACCATAGCCCTGAAAAAACAGAAAATTGGCTCCAGGAAGATAAGCTGTTCATTGTCCACAAAGTGCTTCTTTAGCAAATGGTGTCTACTCTTGGCGTCAGTGTTAAGAATATAAGCAAAAAAAGAATGAGTTGAAGATTCTTAGTACATAGTCTACCGTAACCTAGCTGCAAAACTTTTCTAAAGTCACATGGATATGTTTTCTACAATGCTACCAAGAATGCTGAATCATTCCTTTCTATGGGGATCTTTTTCAACTTTACTACTTTTTAAATTTCAAATAATTTTTAAGTAAAAAATAAAACAAACACAACACAAACAAATTTAAATTCTAGGAGTTTTTTTTTAATGTATGTATATTTTTAGTTTTAAAATTATTTTGGAACTATGACTCTTCCTCAAACACTACTTTGGCCTAAGTGACATTCACAGTGCTGATTTACACACATCCCAAACATACAATCAGCCAGAACCGGAATATAACTGGGCATGGGTGCCCCTCAGGTCACTGAAAAGCATGCATTACTTGTGAAATCATAAAACCATGCTCAAGTCTTTTACCAGACATGTTGCTTTGTCCAGCTCCCCAAAGATAATTAAAAGGAGAACATTAGGATGATGGACCAATTACTTTTAATGAATCATATTTGTTGAAAGAGCCTAAAAATAAGTCAAAGATTTTATACTTGGCTTTGTAGATAAAATGCAACATTGTTTACTATATGTATCTGCAAATGAACAAAACTTCCCTTTTAAAAATCAGAGCACTCATAAAACATGTCTTTCAAAAATGGCTTCTATATGATATCATCATTGGGATATCTCAGTTTGCCCAATTATCTGGATTTCCTTTTCAAACAGGAAATATTATTGAGACTGATTTAGCGCATTTAAATAATACTCCCGAGTAAAGTATACATTTAAAGAATAAAAATATCAGGTCACATTATCAAATGATCAAATATAATGATTATTTTATTACTCTTAAATACATTTTTATGTAATTGCTTAAGACAGTTCATTCAGAATGAAAAACGGAATTAATTTATGCTAAGTGCAACTCAAAATACATATGTAAATGAGTATCATTTGGTAAAAATAATCCTGATAAATTTTTTATTAACCTCCTGCTATATAGAACAAAATATCCCTCAAATTTTTAAAGAAAAAAATTTATAACTGCTATTTGCATTATTCTGTATTAAGAAATTACGAGTTGTACTATTCTCACAAAACGTTTTTTCTCATTTTTCCCATTATTGTTGATGACAGTAACATAAGTAGTGTTTCAATACCAGTCACTTCCTATACTTCCTAATTTTCTTAGTCTTTCTCTGACACTAACCAATATTGACTAGTGAATGTTTGATAAATGTGCCCCTTCTTCCAGTATAAATTTATTCTTTAATAAAATATTTATTATACACTTACAATGTGATAGGCTTTGTGTTAAAGGCTTTGGATGCAAAGTAAATTAAGACAGATTCCTTTCCTTAAGAGCTCATGGTCTGGTAAAGGCAAAAGACAATTGCATTATGGTTTACTATACAGGGTAAGTGCAAATGACACAGAAATACCCCTAGAAAGGTTGTTTAAATCAAGCAGGAAGATCAGTTAACAATAATACTCCATTTCATTAAATTAAGTCTACCTCCTTTATCAAGGAGGTGATGGCTTACCACTGCCTAGCTTGCACTTCCTCACATTGGCAAAGCAGTGTTGACAGGTTTAAACATCAAAACATCCCTGAGAATTACAATCACTATCTTGTTTCCTGACTTCACTGAATTTAAACATATCTGACCTAACCTAAGTTGGAAAATACCCGTGAGTCCAGCTGTTGTTAAGAAAAGACATGTACATGGTAAGAAAAACATGAACTCAGAATTTACAGCCTGATACATGAAAATCAGATTTTTAGTTGGGGTTTTTACCATATGTTTATTTGTTAGCAGTCAGGCATCAGAATAAAAATAAGACATACCTGAAAGTGTGTTTACCATATTGTGTACTAGATTAGAAGACAAATTGATTAGATAGGTCATAAGTCATGTTTTTTAACTGTAGCAACATAAAACAGACACCCTCCAAAACACTGAGTAAGAAAAACGTTTTTGATAATATATACCAAATTTAGAATTAACACTTAAAAGCCAATATGCACCTAAAAATAAAGACTTGCCACAAAGAAAAGCAGTGTGTACACTTAAATTTATAACGGTGACTTGTTACCCATAGTGCTTCAGGAATCAGGTAAAATAAACTGAGTTCCTTCAACAGTATGTATATTCTTATGAGTGCTTGATAGGAAATCAAAGCATATCCATTATTTCCTTCCAAACATTAGCCAGTGTTTAAGAGAAGCCAAATACCGAAAGACTAAAGAGGACCAGTGTTATAACATGGCCCATTTGTGATCCTCTGGTTTTACAAACACAGTCATTTCAAACAGAAGAGCCTCATTTGATATGGACGGCTACCCTTGTACTTGATACATACCATTCAGACTATGTGTAGGGGAGTTAAATTTTCCCTGGTCAGGGTGACCTTATATGACTTGGGCATGGCTCTGCCTCACTCAGAGGTGAAATCGAGGCAGTGGGATCACCCAGCAGAGTTGTTTTTCTCAGGCAGCCCGATGACAAGAATAACTAAAGCTAAGGAGAACGAAGACTGCCCAGAGTTTGTCAGATGGGATTGGCGGAGAGTTCTAATAACAGTTCCCTCTCGCACCAAGGAGTGGTTACATTCAGAAGGCTGAGAGGTACCATAGATCCTACATCCTGAAATTGTGGGTCCCTCAGCACAAATCTACTCATCGCCTTTGTGGATTATGGGATTGTCGCTGGAACCTGGGTTTGAAATAACAGCAGTTTTGAGAAGTTGGATTTACACATTCCAACCGAGCTGAATGTCGCCTTGGAGTGCTGAGACTTAAAGACTTCTGAATCTCCCTCCCCCACAGCCTAAACAGCCACTGCCTCTCAAATTCCAGCTTATACATTCACTTCCTGGGCAATTTTTCTCTTGGGGGTAAAACAATGGACTCTTTCAATCTTCTCTTATCAACAAAGGACTCTAAGACGAAGAAACATTCCTTTCAATCGCAACCTTTCCGACTTCTTTACAAATGATGAGTGGGCGTCGGGGGTGGGGGGACGGGGGCCGAGGAGGGATGAGGTGACAGGCAACTCACCTCTTTCAGCTGCTCCAGCTCCTGTTTGAGGCTGTCGTACTCAGCCTCCAGCTCGTCATACTGCTGTTTGAGGGTCAGCTTCTCCTCCAGGACCACCAGCCCGTACTCGGCAGCCTGGATCTTCTCGTGGGTCGTCTCTGTGAGCTCCTTGGTCAGCCTCTCTATCTCAGTCTTATAATGGTCCACAGTCTGCAATACCTCTTCTGCGGCCATAGCCCCGGTGGATGGAGGCAGGAGGGGGGTGTCGGGGTGGGGAGACGGATGCAAAGCAGGCGGGGGAAGGGGGAAGGAGGTGGGGAGGGAAGGGTAAAAATGGAAAAGAAAAGTGTGGCTGGATGAATGAGCAACGATTCCCCGACTGCTGCTCCGGCGGCAGCGGCTACACTGCCGGAGAAACTGAGGAGAAACGCAACATGGAGAACGCAGGGAGAGGATCAGGGGCGAGGCGGCAGCCGCTGCCGCATGTGTCCTCTGGGTCAGCAGCCGTGCGGCATGGCCTGGGCTGCGGCGGCCGGGGACGACGAGGGGCTCCGGATTCTGCTTATTCAGAGGCGCCCGGCCGCCATGTCTCCCGGGCAGCGTCACTGCAGTCTCCCCGGGGCCTGGCGCTCCCCGGCTCGCGTCTCGCTCGCTCGCTCGCTCCACCTGCTCCCTCTGGCTGTGCTGCAGCCGGTGCGGAATGATGCAGTCTCGGGCCCGCTCCCTCCCTTCGCGCCTGGCCCCGGCTCCGAGCAGGGGGCGGGGAGGCGGATGGAGTCAGCGCGGGGGGAGGGAAGGAACCGACGGAAACATCCCGAGGCGCCTCCCGCCGGGCGCGAGGGGCCGCCGCCGCGGGCT